AAAAATGTATAGGGAAATCATCAAAAAAATTTAAACGTGCATTGCGTACGAGACGGCAAAAATTTTAAAAAAAAAAAAAAAAAAAAATTCATTTCCTTTAAACATACACACACACATAGAATCTTTAATGCGACAACTTTGCGATTACACATATAATAATAATGACACAATGAAACTAGCAGAACCTATTCAAAATTCTATATCATACAAGAATTGTTTGATGGTAGATGGTTGTTGAAGAGGCTGTTTTTTTGGATTTTTGAATATAAAAATTAATGCCTATGCTGTTATCAGAAAAAAATGATAATTATAAACAATATCCCACACTATTTTTATCAAATATTTTTAAAAATAAAAATAAAAATTTACAAAAACAAAATTTGTATTATAATGATAAGAATTCTTTCTCAATTCTTTGTTTTTTTTTTGCTTTCTTTCTTTACAAGATAATCGGATTTAAAAGAAATTGAATTTGAACAATTCTAATCTTTCTTTTTCACTCTCTTTCATATCTCTCATCCTCCCTCCAGTTAAAATAAAAGGTATATAGTCCTTGTCTATTCGAGTTGATCATCATCATCATCATATGATCCAAATGAGTTTCTTTGACTCACAATGTTTTCATGTTGTTAAGAAGGATATATATCTTTACTATTACCGGATGGATCCATCAAATGGGAAAAAGCCGGTTATACATAAGGCATGATTTCTATGAAAAAAAAATATATATAGAATTTGAATATCATATCAACTAATAGAACTGTATTACCAATGACAGTCATTTGTTGTGATGATGGTTGTGATCATCATCATCATTTTTTTTTCAAAATTTGTAATCAAAAAATAAAACCAGATAAGACGCGCATGTTTTTGAAAGATCATTTTGCTGTTGTTGTTAACATACATTTTCAGTATTGATCCAATAACAAACCCATAAAAGCTATTTCCACAACTAATACAGCCATATAGAAGAATGGAAAATAAATTTGATTCACGAATTCAGAATTCGTAGTAAAATTTTTTTTACGGATTTATCTCTTTATACATGCATACAGTCCCTCAACTATGATGGTCTTTTTCTTTCTTTTCTTGGTCATTTGGGTAAAATAAAGTAAAACAACAACGAAAAAAAATGGAGAAACCATGGCTATTAGTTACACACACACACACACACTCACCTCAACCATTTTTTTTATTTTTGGAGATTCTATATACAAAAAAAATTTCTTGTTCAGACATGTTCCTACAAATTTAACGGGATATATATTCTCTCACCTTATAAGCACCATTATTCTAACTTTGATCACGATCGATATTATTATTATTATTGTTGTCGAAAAAAAACAACAACAACCATTTCATTCTATATACTAATAATAATTATTACAATGGTTATTATTTTGGTCATAACTACAATATATAACGATATCGGTATCCAATTCATTGATGATGATGATGAAAATCCATGGATACACAGATTTTTTTTGTTTTGTTTATTGTGATACACATACATATAAACAATGCACATGCACACTTAAATACATGTATAATTTTGGTTTTTTGTTTTCGAAGGACGACATTCGATTTCCATTGGATTTCGATTGCCGACCATCGAAGAACGATGACACAACAACAACAATGTAAAAAAAAATTGGGATATTTTTCTCATTTCCTTTGCCGCCTTTATGGTTTCCTATATTCGAATTGCACATGCGTTAACAGAATTTCAAATATAACAAATTACACGGTTGAATCATCATCAACAAAGTAGTGGCATTATTGTTCCAAACAATACTACTACTTCTTCATAAAAATGATTCATAAAATCGCTTTTTTTTTGCACATTCTCCATTTCGAACGAATAAAAAAAACCAACAAACATAAAATTCTGAATGGTCACAATCCAAAATGTTGAATTCTAATAGTCAATCATTACGTAATTCTCTAAGTATAGTAGCAGCAAAGAGAAAAACTTATTTCTTGTTTGTCTCCAAAAAAAAAATCCTAATTGTGACTAAACAGATAAACAGCAAGGAGTAGCAGAAGCCGCCATTACAGTTTGTGCAGGTTTCTGCTCAAATATTCGTTGGATTTTTTTTTTTTGGGTTCGTTTCATATTTCTAAGGCTACCTTCAGTGTTCATTTCATTAGGATTTCGTATTTGCATGGTGTGTTTCATTGGTTCGCTCAATTACTTTTTCGGTTGCTTTTTCTTTTTATGTTTTTTTTTCTCTCTCTCTCTCTCTTTCACTCTCACTTGCTTACACATTTATGTGTGTGTGGTGTGCATTGCTCGTTTCATTCGATTTCGATTTCAAGCCATTTTTTTCCTATTTGCTTTTTCACTCACTCCTTTTTTCTTGTTCAACCAGAGGATAACGATAACCACATTTTTTTTTTACTTTTACTGAAAAAATATCAAAAAAATTTTCTTCAACCGAAAAAAAAACAAAAAGAAAACATCTCATTACATATTTTCTAATCGGTGGAAAATTAACTGAATAATTGTCTTCAACAGCAAACAAAATAATACATTTTTGATTCAAACATTCGTTTGGTGAAAAAAAATTCGTTTTTTTGTTTCTGAATTTCAAACTTTTTCTTTTTATCAAATGTGTGTGTATTGATTTTATACAATCAAACTGAACTTGACCATCATCATTACTTAGAACTGTATGTTTTTATTGTTTCAAATCGATATTTAATAATCAAGAACATCTTTATTGTTTTTCCAATCAAAAAACAAAAAAAAAATTTTTTTTTGTTCGAAAGTCAACCCTATTGATCATAACCATCATCATCATCAAATACAATATATTATCGTATTACATTTTCATTTACATATATAAATTTAGCTTCAGCTATTTGTTCAACTACCAATCTCAATCTTCGATTCATTCATTCGATACACTTACACACACTTACATACGATCGATTTAATCGGTAAACACATCCATCCACATTAAAAAGTTTGAAAAACTCAAATCAAACTCTTCATTATTTTTTTTCTTCTCATTATTGTAAAAATCAACTCAAATACATTCTTTTTATTTCAACGTATTGATTCACTATTTGGCTGTGTTTTTCATTTTTAGTTTCATTTCTTCACTGATCATTTCCATTGATTTTTATCAAATCTCATTTTAAACAAATACAAAACATAAAATATGGTAAGTGTTATTTTGTTAATTTATCTTTATTGAAATCAATTAGATTTAGCTTATAACCATCCATATAGAAATCAACATTAGGTTCCACAAACTGTCAAATGAATTCTTTAATTTAGGTCGATAATTCTATTTGACATTTTTTCTTGTTCAATTTAAATTTTAAATTTCAATTCAACGAATAAGCCAAGCTTTATTTCTTGTTAAATTAGTTTGTGTACGTGCCGGCTGTTTGCCACATTGCCATATTATTTGAGGCAACAATTCAAGACATCCAGTAATGATCACACCGTTAACAATGATCACTCCAAACCAAACTTTCATACACAAAAAAAAAAAATTCACCGATTCTAACCCCCAAAAGAAAAAGCGAATTTTTTCACTTTCCTTTTGCTCTTGCATTGGTAATTTTTTTGGTTTTTTTTCATTTCTCTCCATTAAAAAACGTCTATGAAGTTTTGATGGCGTCTATGGCGTCGGCTCACTCAATTGGCTTCCACCGACATAGACGCTTCACACATCGAGATACTTGTTTGTATTTATCGATGTGATATGTCGGTGCAAGCGAGCCATCTCCATAGAGTCGATTTGCTTTAGTGTGTGTTGTGTCAGAAAAGCAAACAGCATGTTTGAAGACTGCTACTGCTGCCTCTGCTTTTTGTGACTCTTTTGGTCGCCATCAATTTTTGATGGTATTGCTTTTGTCGTTTATGTGTGTATGTCTTGTATTTCGAGTCAATTATATTGAAAAAAAATCTATTCAGTTCATATGTTAAGGGCTAATCATTCTTTTTGGAAAAGAATTTATCCAATGAATACAATAAAATGGAATTCAATTCAATAATGAAATAATTTGAGAGATGATTTGGATTTTGAGTTAGGCAACTTTTTCTATTGCTCTGAATGCAATGACATCATTTTATGTACAAAATTCTTATAACTTTTAATAACCAAGACCTTGTAAACAAGCTAGAAATTCAGTTTTTGTTAGGTTTTGATGAATCGAATTTTATACTGAAATAATGATAATCGATCTTTTTTTGGTTTTTCCACCTTTTTTCCAATGAAACTATATTTATTTGAGAAACATATTCAAGAAATGGAAACAATGTTTAATTACAATCGATAATTTGGTTTAGTTTTTTCATCGACTTTTATAATTTTTCCTTCTTGTTTATCATCATTTAAATGATTCAAAAAAACTTATAGACACCGATTGTTGCGATAATGCCGGTGTAAAAACCAACGCCTATCAATTTCAACCATCCTTTAGTCGATTGTTTCTGTCGATGTATAATTTGTTTTTGTTGCCATTTTTGTTTTGTTTCTCAAGTTGTCAATTTGCCTTGTCATCTTATGACAACTTTAAGACTGTATTTCATTGTATGGATGACTTTTTTTTTATTTATCTCATCCATTTGAGGATCAATTCAAATAATCGTTCAATTATCAATTCGACTTTGACAATCTCATATTAAAAAAACACAAAAACTCTTGTTTTTCGATAAAATAGCAATAATGGTAATGATGAAATATGCGAATAATATTGATCTGTGAAATTTGAAATCTTTAACTTATTGATAGATATTGATAATAATTTTCTTTCATTTTGTTTATCACAATTTTAACTAATTCTCATCTTTATTACTCCATTTAATACAGGCGGATCAATTGACAGAAGAACAAATTGCTGGTACGTGATAAATTTTGATTTTCGTTTCTAATTATTTAATCATATATTTTTTTTGTCTGTCATTTTCCTCAAATATTACATGATTATCCAACAGAATTCAAAGAAGCATTTTCGCTGTTCGATAAAGATGGCGACGGTACTATCACTACAAAAGAATTGGGAACAGTCATGAGATCATTAGGACAGAATCCAACTGAAGCTGAATTGCAAGATATGATCAATGAAGTGGATGCCGATGGTAATGGTACTATCGATTTTCCCGAATTTTTAACCATGATGGCACGTAAAATGAAAGATACCGATTCTGAAGAAGAAATTCGTGAAGCTTTCCGTGTATTCGATAAAGATGGTAATGGCTTCATTTCAGCTGCTGAGCTCAGACATGTGATGACCAACCTTGGCGAAAAGCTCACTGATGAAGAAGTCGACGAAATGATTCGTGAAGCCGATATTGATGGCGATGGACAAGTTAATTATGAAGGTAAGTAACTGTTGTTCATCTTCTATAATCCTACCCATCTAGTATTAGCTGTTAGTTTATGTTAATCATTATCTCAACATTACATTAAACAATTTTTCACGCCCACATTGCCATCATCATGAATTAGTTGAGAAAAAACTGACAGGTTTACATTAGAAAATAAATTGACGTAAGAGATGACGACCACACGATGATAATGACAATTTTTATCTGTAAATCATTCCCATGTTTTTTCCTTATTTATGATTGATGTTTATTGATTAATAATTTTGTTTTTTTTTATTTTTTTTCCCTTTTTTATATATTCCCCGTATGCTGTTATTGTGATATTACAGAATTCGTAACGATGATGACATCAAAATGAAAATTATCCATAGTATTTTGTTAAATATATTCCTTATTTCTTTCGCTCTTCGTGTCTCGTCTCATTGATTCAAAAAAAAACAAGCAAAAAATAAATTTTCAACTTCAACCTATCAACTATAACACACACACACACACACATTACAAACCAACAAGGAACCCATTCACACATCCACAAACATTAAAAAATTTTTCCTGATTGTTTTTATCATCATGAAAACAACACCAAGCTGTTTGATTTTTCTTTTATTTTTTTCACTTTCGTTTCATATTACGTTTTCGTGCGTTTCTCTTTTTTTTTCTCAATCGTGTTTTACTGTAAATTTTTTTTCACACATACACTTGAAAACTTACACACAATAACAACTATCCATGAATAATCTTTTAAATTATTGGAATTTGAATTGATTGATTGATTGATTGATTTTTTCATGTGAATCATTCTTTTTTTTTCTCACAACTTTTTGTTTCTCTTTCTCTTTCATTTTTTTCTGTCGATTTTTAATTTTCACAACAACAAAAGAAAAGAAAAAAGAAAAATATGAATTATATTTAAGATTATGATTACGATATAATTTTAATCAACACATAAATTGCATGTGTAATTGTGTGTGTGTGTGTGTTGTGTGTAGGTGTGTGCGAAATTAAGAAATAATGACTGTGCGTATGTTTTTATCATGAATCATCTATCATTGATTGGAATGTGGATTTATTGCCTGGCCTGTTTGGAAATTTATCTCATCTTTGGAACATTAATCCCTTATGTTTATTTGTCTTAGTTTTGTTCTTTTTTATTTCCTTCTTTTCTTTTAATTTTGCTTTTTATTGTCTTCAATCGAACGAATTCCATCATCGAAATAGTGCCATCCATCCATTTAAATTAAAACAACAACAAAAATGAAATGAAATGAAATCGATAAACAAACTGAATCCACAATAAATAAACATATATCGGCTGGGAATTATGGGTCACAATCATCTGTATTTGTACTTTGGTTTCGATTCTGGAACAACAACAACAACAACAAAAAAAAACAATCATATCGGCCATGCCTACATATAATTGATTACCACACACACACACGCACACACTTATTACACAACTTTAAAAAAAATTTGCACTAAAGTGAACACCTAAGTAAAAATAATACTATTTTTTTTCTGTCATTCAACAACCAATAATAAAATTAAAATTTTAATAAAAACAAACATCAATATATAAAAAAATCATAACATTCATCATTTAATTTGGTCAGAATTATCAACTATCGATTGTCAAAACAAAGCAAAAAACTTAAATGATAATAATAATTTTTTTTCTCTCTCTGTTGTGCTCCATATAATATTTTCATCATTTCATTTTATCCAAATGTCTTGTTTGTTTGTTTGTGTGTGTGTTTTGTGTCCAGTTAGCCCATATTAATCCGATATAGTTATTATTCATATATAAATTAGAATAAGCGTTTTTTGTGTTTTTTTTTATTTTCAAAAAATTTGAATTAATTTTTTACTAATTTAATTAATTAATTTCCATAGTTTAATAATATCAACTTTTGTTTTGTTTTGTTTTGTTGTTTTTTCCGGAATTACATACTTAAAAGAGCAGGATAGATACTAATTAGATAATTGAAAAAGTGAATGGATTTGCAATGAATGTTTTTTGGCTCAAATAATTTTTTTTCTGTTTGAATTTTTGTTCCGTTTTTTTTCATTCATTCATTCATTTCATCAATGATGTTTACGTCAAATAAAAAAAAAGTTTGATCACTGGAATCGTCAATTGATTAGTCAATCATAAATAATCAATAATAATAATATTCATTATATACAATTGGTTTTCGTTGTGTTTATTTATTCATTATTATTATTTTTTTTTTTAGATTGCTAAAAAAGGATTTCATATATGAATTCAATGCTATGATATGAAACGCTCAATGATGATTTATTTATTATTTTTGTTTTTGTTTTGAATAAAAGAATGGCTTGTTTGTGAAAATTGCAAATGTAAATTTAAAATCAAAAACAAAACAAAACAAAAAAAATCAAATTTTCTTCTTTTTTTTAATCATTATTATAATCATATTGTTGATATCGATACACATCACATAAAAACAATCAGTACAAATCACCTTAATCTAATTAAAAATATTATTGAAAACATTATCTCTATAGGAAAAAATGGTTACATTTCATTTCACACACACACACTGGACACTGTATACACAATCGAATGTGATGCTGAATTAGTTTTTAAATCATCATTTTCATCACACACACACTTATCACTTATCACAGAATGAATGATATTAGATTCTTAACAAACAAGAAAACAACTAAATTAATTATCAAAAAAATTGTTAATTTCATACGAGAAAAAAAATATCCCATTTTTTCCTGTGTTTTTTCTTTCCACAAATCTAAACTCTTCCATATTGTTTTCTTTTCCTGTTTTCTTGTTTTTGTTGTTTCATTGCTTTTTTTTCCTTTGGTCGTTAATTTTTTGAAACAAAATAAATAAATAAAAAATCATTCGCAAATACAAATAACATTTCTTTGGGTTTTGTTTATTTATAATTTGTTCAACACACAGCCCTCATCATCATTATTTTATATTTACACAAGACACACAATCAAAAACAAACTTGCAAATTGAAAATTTTTTCTTGTTTTTGTTGTCATCAATCAAATGAAACGGCTGAAACACCTAGACACACATATATTTATCACAAACAGAATAACAACAACAAGACATTTATTTTATTAATGATTGATTTACAAAACAAAAAAAAATTCAATCATTGAATATTTTGAATTTATTGGACAAATACAAAAACAAAACAAACAACCAACCAGACAAACTTATAATAATATCGATAATCAATAATCAACAAGACATTCGCGAACAACCTGAGAAATATTATTGTGAATATTATCGTTGTTGTTGTTGTTGTTGTTGCTGTTTTTTTTCACTGTTTGTTTGTTTTGCAACGGACAAGAAAAGAGCAAAAAAGAGACAAAAAACTATCAAATTAATTTAATGGAATGAATATTCGAATGAAATGTATACATTTTATGCTTGTTTGTTTGCGTGTGTATCTTGTGTGTGTTTGTTTGTTTGTTTGTGCATCAATCAGATAACAACAACAGAATTTTTTTTCCAACAAAATTTTATGAAATAAAAGTATCGACTATGTTTGGACCAAAAAAAATGTCTAATTCTTTTTTTTTAAAAATCCATTTTTTGAATGACATTCTGAATTAAGGTTTCTATTCGATGGACAACTTTTTTTCCGGATTCTAGATTGTTTTTTCCGGTTTATATTCAATTTGTTGTTTGGATGATGTTTTTCTTTTGACTGGCACATGATTTATTGTATATGTTGGTTATGATCCATGAATTCTATTTCGATTGCCTGTCATAATTCAATTATTTTGTTTTGGATGTTTCACATTGTTGTTGTTTGACATTAGTTGTGTTGTTGACATTAATTTTCTCTAATGAAATCATCTAATGTATTTAACATAATTTTGGAAAACATTTATCCGGGTTGTCTACAACAAAAAAACAACATCCAAATTGATACCAGGAAAAAATCAACTTAACAAACACCTGACATCATCAACATTAACAATAGCAGATGTAATTCTTTTTGGCATTACAATCCATATGGTTTGAGATACACTAAGTTTTGTTCTCATTTTGTCAACAAAAAAAAAAATGAAATGAAAAATCCATTTGGATAAAATAAAATGTCTTTTTTTGTTCTTGTCTACTAATAATAATGAATTGTCACTGTGGTTTGAAAACCATAAACCGGATCATATTGTTTTAAATAATAACATCAAAAAATATTTAAATTTTCTTGCAAACAATCATTTTTTTAGAATAAAACAATGACGAAAAGAACATAATAGAATTTATATGGCATTAAATACAAAAAAAAACAGCGGCTTCCATCGTGATGATAAACTTTTCACTATTTTTTATTGATTTAACTTTTTTTTTCTGATGAATAATAGTGAGTAAAAGTGATCATTAAAATAGATCATTAGTATATCACACACACACACACATTAAAGAATATAAATAGAATAATATGGTTAGATGGATAATAATGATGAATATAGTCACGATATTCTAACGAAAAAAACAAATTTTAATAAAAATAATATTTTAATATGATAAGTTATTCATCAAACCAATTGTAACCAAAACCAGACGTAACCATACCATTAGGATTTAAGAGTGATGTTTTTAAACATCCGATGTTTCACAAGTTTCATATTTTTTCATATATAACATATAAAGGTGGATTAAATCATCATCATCATCATCATACCTGAGCTTATTGTTTATATTAGTTTAGGTAGGTTATATTAGATGACACACAAACACACATCTATATTCGATTTCTAAAAACCGAATAAAGTTTTTGTTTCCAGGAAATTTTCTTTTTTGGTTTTCATTTTTTTTTTCGTTTCGACAACAATAATAACATTATTATTATGATGATCATAAATATAAATTAACGTAGTAGTTTGAAGAACAAAAACAAAACAGATAACAGAAACATAAAACAAAAGAATTACGCCTATGTTATTTATTCCTAATATTTTTTTGGAGTTTCGTTTTGTGTTTTTTTTCTTCTCAGCTTAGTTTCAACATTTGTGAAAGCTAAAGCTTATCTTTGAAAACCTAAAAACAAGATCCAATCATTTATAATGATGATGATCACCATCATCATGATGGAAATCTTCAAAAACCAAATTATTATTATTTCTGTTTCAATGACGAATCAGCGATAATGATTATTGGTTATATGGAATATTTTTTGTTTCGGTTCGATTATCATCAATTCACACAAACACATACAATGATTATCATCATGGTGAATGATGATGATCATCTCAATTCATTCAAAGATTTAATCATCTTTTCATCATTAAATTTCGTTTCACTATATATAAAGACTTGTTTGTTTTTCTTTTGGGTTTTGATTCCATTTGTATTACATTTTTGTTTTTTCGTTTAGTTCATTGAAGTTTGTTTTATTTGCGTGCTTGTTTCAATAGAAACAAACAGAAAAAAGACACACACACATGTTTGGATCGAAAAAATGAAAAGAAAAAATTATTATTATTACATCTGATCAATTATTTGTAATATCGGTATACATTTATTATTGGTTTTTTTTCATTTCATTTCATTTTCATATACGGTTGTATTATCGGGGTTGCTAGGATTCTATATTTATCCATTCATCCGATTCTGGAATCATTTTGAACATTCAAATGGATGTTGAAGGCAATTTTTTCTAGGATTATCTACACATGTACTATATTATAATAAAATAATAAAAAAAAATGATTTCGATTTTCATTGATAATTTATTTCAGCTTCCAATTATTTATTATTAGTAAGTAAGATAATTAAAATGGCCCAAAATGTTTATTATTATTTTATGATGATCTAATAATAATGAAAATACTTTCAATTATTATTATTTTTGTTTCGGACATAATGATCAAGTTTTTTTCTTGTTAGTTCTCTTAGAATTAACCAAAAATAAAAAGTATCATTCAATTCAATAAACATTTGTCAGTTATGTTGTTGTTTTTTTTGGGGTAAGTTTGTTAAGTAAATTATTGATAAACTCTTGAATTAATCGAATCTAAATAATCATGAGTTTGGACCAATTGATATATTGACTTTGATGATTTGATATCGATATTTATAGCTAGTTTTTTTTTGTCGTTGTTGTATAAGTTACATTTGATAAAACTTTATTTTTGGCTTTTTTTTTCTTTTTTCCCTATATTGGCAAATGTGTCAAACATCAAACAATCAAATTCATCATGTAATAATGCCAGACAACAACAACAACAACATAACAAAATTAAATGTTTTTTCTTTCATGTTTTTTCATTCTCTTTTTCCGTTTACAATGTATCTTTCTTCATATTATATGATGCTTATGGTTTATTCTGGACACACACACACACACACATTTTTTACGAAACCAGAAAAAAATCCTGTACCAAACAACCAACAAAAAGAACAAGGATGGATAGAAATTTTCGTTTAGCCCGTCGGAACAAAACCAGAAAAGAAAAAAATCCAACAGTGGGCGACAAAATATACAAAAAGCTTAAAAAACAGTAACACAAGACAAATGACAAGCCTAAGTTTCTGGTTTCAACCACACACACACAACACACCCATATAAGCAATGTAGCTTGTTCTACAAAAATATTGAATAGAAATGTTTAAAAGTTTTTTTTTTGGTTCCATGTGGTCGGTCGATTCTTTCTTTTTTTTCTATTCTTGTTGTTGTTGTCGGTATAGTTATATATGTTGTTATTCGTGGTCGTGAATTTCCTGGCCTGAATTTGGAAAAAAGATTTTTTTTTGTCTCGGTTAGTTTCATCATCACAGCGTCTCAGTGTTTGGTTTGTTTGTTTGTTTGTGTTTGTATTTTTGTTCCATAAATGACGCTATCAAAGAAAAGAAAAAAAAAGTCGAATCTAGTGAATAGAAAACATTTTAATCAAGCTTGTATAGCTTGAAACATCATTGAAAGTTTTTTTTTCATTTGGCCATTTCATTTATAAATGTTGCAAGCGAAAAAAAAAATTATTTTATTTTTTATTTTTCTGGAGCGAGATTTTAAAACTTGGATTTTTTTTCCCCAGATGAATGTAATGTAACTTATGATGGTGAAACAATTCTGTTTTTTTTTACTTAAGGATGTTTCAAGAGCAAATTTTTTTGCCAGCTATTTTATGTTATGTTGTTGTTTTTTTTCTTTAACACCATTGTTGAGTGAATTCGGCTGACTCAACAACATTACGAAAATTTGAACCAAGAGAGAGAGAGAGAGAGAGAGAGAGAGAGAGAGCGAGACAACAAAATATGATTCTAAAAGAATATGAAAACAGGATAGAAACTTTCGTTGAAAGAAAAGAAAAATCTCCATTGAGATGCTGCAATGATGATGATGATGATGATGATGTAATATCATTGATCAAATCAAGCTGACTGGTTAGATGTGATTCTAGTAAAATGTAGAATGAAAAAAATGGAATTTTTTTTATTATTATTTGTGCTGAAATTGCTTTTCATCATTTATTTCATTTCAAAAAAAAATGGTGTGTATAGAGCTGTTAATGATTCTCACCATGACTGCTAGATTGTTGTTTTTGTTATCATTGATTCTGCTTCTGCATCTTAGCATCATTCCTAGGGTCCTTGATTTTGTTTTGTTTTGTTTTGTGCAATGCTGCTATTGATTTAATTTTTTACAAACAAAAGATTTTTTTGTTGTTTTTTTTCCATCTGTATATTTTTTCAACCAGAAACAAACAAAATAAAATGATTTTTTTTCCGTTTTTTGTTTTCAAATGTTTGTGTGTTTTGCTTGTAAACTTTATTCTTTTTATTTCATTTTTGTTTTGTCGAAGAAACATTTTAGAGAACCATATTCTCGTTGATCTTGATTTTTCGTTTTGTTTTGTCAATGAATTCATGAAAAAAATGACAAAATGTGCAAGGTTGCAGGGAAAAGGAGAAAGAAACCAAACTGAGAAAACGTGGGAAAAAAATATTTCTATGATTAACGATGAAACAATATTTTACTTTGGGAAACTTTTGATGTTGTTTTTTTTGTTTTGTTCTTTTAAATCCTTACCATTGATGTATACATACAAAAAAAAACATTATATAAATGATTTTATGATTCGATGCAATGTCATTATCATCAAACCGATGGATTCATTGTTTTGTTCTTCGTCGTTGTTATATTCATGCAAAGACACATCAAACAAAATTGATTCTAAAATGTTAGGAAAGAAAAATCTTGGGAAATGATAATGTTTGTTTGATAGATTTCTTGCATTTCAATTGTAAGGAAAGACAAATTTTTGCATTTTTTTCCCCTAAAAATTTCCTTATAAATCAATGTTACATTTGTACTCATCGATCCAAACTGATAATAATTATTTTTCATTTATCATCAAATAATGTAAAATATTATCATCGATCATACCTGAAGGAAATCATTTGATGAGTTGTAATTTTTAAAAAATATGTCACGTACATTTAAAAAAAATTATAATTATAAAATATTGCCCACCACCATCACCATATTCTGAAAATCTTGTCATAAAATGACATTTGGCAGGATAGAAATAAAGCGAGAGACAGAGAGATAAAAAAAATCGATTCTTCAAATGAATATAGTGTTTTTTCTTCTCTTTTTTTGTTATTATTAATCATCCATGAATCGTTCAAATAATCAAATAATTTACGTTCATAACAACGGAAAAAAATAAAATATTTTATCATTACAATATTGTACCAGTTTTTCTACTGTTTTCTGTTGGTCTTTATATTCAAATAATGATAATGGCCATAATAATAATGATGATAATGTCACTGTCTATCTTGTATACTGTGGCTGTCATCTATGTATGAAAAAAAATGATGATAATAATAATTTGATCATCGATTGCTCACAGGAGTAAAAAAAAAATGAAAAAAAACAGAATAATTTTATTTTGTAACAAACGAAAAAAAAATTGATGAAAATCATCAACATCCGAAAAAAAAACATTCAAATCATTTGACATTATGTTTGTGCTGCGGTTTTTTTAACATGTTTGTTTGCTGTGCCATCCATTCATCCATACGATTCTCTTCTATTCTAATTTAATGAAATTGTCTGGCCTATTTTTCTTCAATTCATTTTTTTTTTCTCTCTCTTTTGTTTATGATGACCAACAAAATGGAGAGAAAAATTTTGTCCAGAATTTTTATTTTTCTATTTTGTAAGTTGATTGATCATTTTGCAAAAAAAACAACAACAACAATATCCCCAATCGCTATCCCCTCCGCCATTTTCATAAATAAACGTTTTGTTTAGGTTCGGACACTAACGGATGAATCTTTCATTTTTTTTTGTCTCCCATCCCAACAAATGAGACATGTGGCACATGGTGAAATATTCGATTACTAAAAAAATTTCCATTTTTTTCTCATTTAAAAAAATGACACGTTTTTTCAACCAGTTTTGTTTTCTCTTTTTCAATTCTGAATATATCAACAAATCACAAAATAAAAAAAAGAAAAATGGTTTTTCAAACTTGTATCCTAAACGAAACAAAAACAAAAATTGTTTCGCATATGAAAACAAATTTGCATACCTACCTCTTTGTTTGTAATCGTATTTTAGAGTTTAGAAAATTTAGAAACGATTCTTTTTTTGTTCAACTTACATGAAATAGCAATTTCGAAAATCAAATCCTAAAATCTTTGTTTACATATTATATCAAATAAAACGGAATTTCAAGTTTTTTAAGACTTTGTGTTTGAAAGAATATCATTCAAACATAGAGTCATGGCTGTCATTGCTCCAGGACTTTTTTTCCAAGAAAAAAAAATCGATTTTTATTCATTTTGACATAAGATTTAGTGGAAATATCTTTTTCCCATGAAAAAATAAAAATAGACATTAATTTCATTTATTTTATAAGATTGTATCCAAAAAAATTAGGTTGTGCGTGTTAACTATCATATCAATTCATCATCATATTCATTAATAAGAGAAAATAAGAAAAAATTGCTGATTTCTTTTTATTCTTTTTATTGTTAATGGCTAGCAATTACTGAAAAAAAATGATATACTTCATCAAGATCATAAACGGCCACTTGTGTATTGCATATATTACAATGTACAGGATAATATTGATCGTTTGTTGTTAAGGTTGAAAATGAATGTTCATTTTCAGATTCCTGTTGTTCAGATTGTTGTTGTCGTTTTTTACGTTTCTGAAATCTTTTCCGTATTTCATCTTTATTTTTGATAAATAATTTTTTTCCATAATCAATACGACAATTTTGAACAAACATAGCACGATATTGTGTTTTATAGATTTCATGTCGTTGACAATCTAAACATAATAATGATAAACAACATGGACAATTTAATGTTGCATCATTGGTACGTGGTTTTTTTAGCTTTGTTTCCGATTGTAATTTACGTTTCCGTTGTTCATCATCATCAACATTTTTATTAACATTTGTATCCGATGATGATGATGATTTTATTCGTGATTCATATAGAAATTTTTTTCTATCCATCCATTGTTGATTTGAATCATCTTCATCAGGATCATAAAATAGTTCATCCATAATTTTTTCTTTTTCAATATCATTAATTCGTTTTTCTAATTTATTATTATGATTACCACTACTATTTTCATTAATGCTACTGCTACTAGATTTATTTTTTATATTCGAATCCTTCGGGATAATATTGGATGTTATTTGTTGTTGTTGCTGATCGGATGCCGATGATGATGATGATTGCCCAAAAAATTTGCTAAAACATGGCAATAATGTTGTTGAGGGAGATGATGATGATGATGATGGAATACCATCGACAATTTTGTTGTTGTTGTTATTGTTGTTGACTATGTGTACACCATTCAAATGATTACTAGCTTCATTATACATTTCTCTTTCAAATTGTTCATTACTATCAACAATATTATCGTCATCATCATCATCATCATCATTATTATTAACATTGTTGCCAATCAATATGTCGTATGTTTCTTTAGTTAAATGTTCTTTCAATTGAACGATTCGTTGATTCTGTCGATTATCATTATTATCATCATCATCATCACTGAGAATTTCGGGTATATAGATGTACATGTAATCGAAAATTGATCAGCAAACATCGACAACATACAAATTAATCAAAATTAAAAAACAAAAAATAGAGAAAAATGAAAAGAGAACAAAAATATTAATGATTATAATGATAGAAAATTGAAAAAAATACAATATTAATGAATAAAAATTGTTAAATATATTTGCATTATAATTTTAACTAGACATTCTATAGAGCTAATTGAATACACATGAGCATACTGGATCTTACTGTTGGTTATGGTTGATACTGATTGATTGAAATAAAAATCAAATTTGATAAACGAAAGAATCAAATGTAGAATAATATCTACCAAAGAAACAAAAAAAAAAGAATTTGCCCTATATATGTGCATGTTTGTGATAATAATAATAATAATGAAAAAAAATCGAAATTTTATTATGAAATGAATATTGATTAAAGTCATGTAAATATTATATCAAACTATTCTTACTACTATATATGTTGATGGGAAAAAAACAAGGACAACGACAACGATCAATGTAATAGCAATAGCATCCCCATTTTAATCGTATTAGAATAATGGCAGTGAAGCTGCCATTCAAAGGAGCAAAAAAATTTTTTTACTTCTTTGGTATAATCTATCTGTCATGTAAGCATAGATTTTTCTTTTCTCTTACTTAGTGTTGTTCTTTATTGTAAGTATAAATTTTCATATTATTATTCATTCATCTTTACCGTCTATCGAAAAGATTGATTAAGTGATTCTGATTCTTTTTTTATTCGCTTGTGTGAAAGAAAGAAAAAAAAATACTCAACTCCGATCTAGATTTCAGAGTGTACTGTTCTTAAAACATTATTATTATTATTATTATTATTATTATTATTATTATTATTATTAGTTTTTTACTTGCCAAGGTAAAAAAAAGTGTAACAGCCCGGCAATAATAATCTCAAAGGATTTATAAACTGCAGTTGAACAACAACAAAAAAGCAAGACGAAATCATCGACACGATAAGAAAAGACTTTGTTTGTTGTATTGGACAAAAATGATAACGAAATTGAAATTTCTCTTTCTCTGATATAAAAATGCAAAATATGTTACAAATTGCAATTTTATTGCCAATAATAATAAAGAAAGAAAGAGTTTTCAAACTTTTATATTTTTAATTTGTGAATGATAGTTTATCATTATATCCTAAATATGATTGCAATAAAAAAACGAATAAAATGAATATTAAATAACAAACAAAATTCCTTTTTACTTTAAAATCAAAAATATAAATATAAAAATATGCGCATCGAATTTATGAACAAATTTCAACTTTTTGTTGTTGTTTATTTCCAAAGAGAATAAAATTTGTTTCCTATTTGTTCATTGCTTTCAAAAAAAAGAAAAGAAAAAAATGATCAAAATTCATCGTAGAAACAGGCATACAGAATAAATATATATTTTGTTTGTTTGTTTGTTTCGCTATCTGATTACAAATTCATATCGAGAATACAGTATATTCTATAGGAACGATAATTTTTTTTCATTATAATAGTTCATTTTTATTCCATTCAACAACAAAAAAAAGTTCGAGGATCGAAAAATCGATTTGTACTCTCTCTCTCTCTCTCTCCCTCTTCATTCCCAATCATTATGACCAATGCCATAAACTATAATAGTTACTATTTATATTGTATAAATAAGTCATGAAATGGTCATTCATCATAACCAACAAAAAAAAAAATGAAAATGAAAATTTATTCCTGATTTCCATAAAAACCAATAAAAAAGTTTTTCACTTTTTTTCAACAAATAAAGAAAAAGAAAAATCAATAAATAATAATATTTATTTATTCAATCGTTGAATTTGAATTCATCTCCAAAAAAAAGGAGATAATGATTCTCAGAAGCTTTAATAATGATAATAATGATGATGATTATTATCGACATTATTAACGACACTAAATGTTCTGCTCTGCTTGTGTGAAACCAAAGAATATAATTAATTTGATTGAATCTTGTCGGTAAATGAGAATCTCATTTTTCCTATCTCTTTTTTTTGGAACACGTACATGGCACATTTTGGTTTCTCATTATCCCATTAATTTTTTTTGTTGTTGTTGTTGTCGGAAACATTGGGTGATCAAGTTTACTGAGATATTGACGCCATGAATACAAAAAAAGAAAGAAAGGAAACAATGGCAGGTGGTGATCACAAGATCAAGTTGATATGGATTTATTTCAACTAAAGCCAACGGAATTTGAGTTAGAATTATGGAGAGAGAAAGAATGGCCTTCGGAAACCAAACAACAATGGCAAAAAACGATGATGAGAATAATAATAATAATAAAATAAATGTCAACAAGAGGGCGTCATTAGATTTTTGATTATCATTTTTATTTAGTTTGGGTTTTTTTTATTTCCTTTATATTTGTTTTATTCGTTAAGTCAATGGTGGTTGTTTCAATGAATATTCGGAATAAAATTACTAAGACTAGAATAGATTCGATCGATGCTACAAACAAATTTTAAAAAGATGACAATTTTTTTTCTTCTAATCTTCCTACAGAGAAGAAAACTTTTTTTCTTTCTACTTTCTTTATTCGTGAATGACGGTGATTTTTTGTTTCACTTTCCAACGAAAAAAAAAGTTTGAAATTCTATTTCAACCAAAAGAAAAAAAAATCAGTGCGTGTCAATGTCAATATTGGGCGGGTGAATATATATGAAGAATGTAGTGTGTAGTAGGTGTACATATATGATTGGAACCTTTTAAAATGATTGAAAACGATTGGATGATTCTTGATTATTATGATAATGATAGCTTACACACATACACACATGATGAAGAAAAGAATGAAAATGATAATTACAAAATCATTTTTAAAAGTCACGAAAAGTTAAGAAAGAAAGAAAAAAATTCTCAAAGGAAAAGAATCTGAAACAAAACAAGAAAAGAAAAAAAACATCAACTAATCAAAAACAATAAATGAAGGAATAAGAATTCTTTCTTTTTTGAAAGAAAGAATTAAATCAACTGGAAAAAAAGTGAAACTTATATTACCAACAAAAGGAAAAAAAAACAGAATTACAACGAAATGATTTTTAATTGAATGGTAAATTAAAAATTTGATTTTCTAATGAAACAAAATTCTTCAATTCTTATCTTTTGATTATTATCGACAAATTTGTTTTGACCATAATAATAATAATAAATTTTATTAAATGATAATCAAACATCATAAATTGTTTGCTGGTTGACGTAAATCAACCAAAATTAATGAAAAAAAATTTTATTTGAAATAAAGATTTGTCTTTCTCCAATCAAGAATAATGGACAAAATTTTATTGGTTTTGTTTGTCGTCATCACAATCATCATCGATGATTGTTTTTAGATTTTTATTTACAATATATATTGGAAAAAAGATTCATTCTCTTATCTTATCGATAATAATAATAATAATTAGGTGCTAATCGAATTGAAGTGGTGCTTTTCGTTTTTATTATCGCTTTAGATTAGATCAGGAATCGATCGAAAATTGCCAACATGGTGGAAAAAAATGGTAGCCACCACTGAAATGATGGCGATAAATTATTTAAACACATTTTACAGCCCGAAGTAATGATGATTTTTTTTTTTTGTTTTCAATAGTCATCATCATTGCCATTATTGTTAGCATTGATAATGATGATGATTTAAATCGAATGCGATCTAAATACGAATATTTTATTTCATACATAGAATATAATGGATAGTCGAATGGACTCAACTGAATTGAGGTTAGAAGCCATTATTTTACCAAACATTAATTTAAATAACATGAATCTGATTCGATTCATATCATTTGAATTTGGCTAGTGTCTCTTGTATATCTGTATTATTCTGTAGGATAATCATAAACGTATATTCGAATCAATGTCAAACATTTATAGTTATTATTCATGTTTGATAAATTTATGATTAGTCAGTAACAAATAAAACTATATGAACACAAAACATAATCAATCATTAACTTTAATGTTTAAAATCAAAATAGAATTTCAAATCGATATAAACAATCTAAATATCTCATTTGAAACCAAGTTGAATCTAATGATAATTAAAATCAAAATTTCTCATCGTTTTGAGGACAACACTCACCTTGAATAAAATGATTCGGCATCACTTATACCATCAAGAATATCTTCATAATAGCAATCATCTTGATCCATCTTTTTTTTGAAATTGTTTTTATTGTTCTCGGATTCTTGAATTATGAACGCATATATGCTCAATACACATTTATCGAGCTATTCATGTGGAAATGGGCAATACAATTTCAGAAAATAAAATCGTGATTGTTTTCAGAGAAAATTTTGTTTTTATTTACAATTTTTTCGTTTATAACAAGAATAATTTCAATATTCTAAATAATGATAATATTAATTTGTAATCAAACGTTAAACATTACTCGAAATATTTGTATGGCTTTTTTGATTCGATAACGATGTTGAATTAATGGAAGGATTTTGTACAGGTTTCATAGCATAAATATAGATGGCTACGAAAACTAACCATATCGATATTATCGTGTATAAATCAATGATTGTTGCAAACAAAAATGAACAAAGAATGGCGGACAATAGAATCTCCAATGTGGCAGCAAATGTTTTGAGAATGGAATTGAGATGTTTGAGAAAAAATGAAGTAACTATACCTGCAATTGCTCCATTAAGCATTATGATAAACACATATGGTTTGAATAATATAGAGAAATCAAAAATAGCTGAATTGTTTGACAAAGGATTTGATGTAACCAACAATATTGCCAGATTACATAGAATTGAATCCGTGTACATAAAGATATTTTGCACTAGAATATGCACAGCATTTCCATCATTTTTGATAAGAAATTCATTGTACACACCAGCAAAACATGAACAAAAAAGTTGTATCAACATGAGAAGAAGATTTTTCGACATTAATGTAGAAAATATGTTAAATGAATCTGATGATGAAGATTTTATGCTATGTCCAAGTTCTTTAATCATGCAAGCCATCGTCAATATACATAATGAAAACCATTGAATCAAAGTTAATTTCTTTTTGAATAAAATTTGAAAGAGCATGCCAGTTATCACAGTTCGAAGTTGTAATAATATAAAATAAGTGGTCGGATCATAGTTAGCCAGATTGATAAAAGCCAAATTATTGTACAGACAATATAGAAAAGCTGGTATTAGGTATAATAGACCAATACGAAAACCAGATCTAATTTCATCGATTAGTTGCCATATTGATGGCTTATCCTTAAAATACAAAACTATACATGTAATTAGTTTAATGAATTCAGTTCCAATCACAACTGAAACGATATTATAATCATATTTATTATTGGTTCCATTGTTTTGACTTGCTTTGACCAGAATACCTGTTTAAAAATTGGAATTTATTTTAAAATTGAATTGTTCATATTATAATTACAAACCTTGATTGACAAAAAGACAAATATAAGCTATAAAAATGACCAGGCTCCATTTAGTTGGGAAAAGTTGTCCGAACAATTTTTTATCTTTAACACTCATGTTTGTTGTTTTTGTTTCTATATTTTTATCGATGGATTTACAAAAAAAAATGTTAGATTCACAACATTCTTGTCGTTGCAATCATATCAATTCAATTAAACAATCATTTATCTGTCCAATGATTACACATTATAATAATGTATGCTTTAGTTAAAATAATGATAATAGGGAGTAATTTCAATCAAATGTCAACTTTGTAAATCAAAAATCATTGGATTGAAATCGAATGATTATAATAATGATGCTCATCATCATTATAATCGGTTGTTCGATGTACTGTTGAGATGACAATGCGTGTTTCCATGGAGAATCTGTTTTCCTCACAATCTCTATTCTCTTTTTTTTTGTTAATAAATGGGCAAAAAAAAAATAAAGGAGAGCAGAGAGAATGTAGTTTTTTAAATTTAAAATTTTTTAATTTGATTTGAATTAAATGTATGAATCAATGATCAAGTCCATATGAATTAAGGCGTTTAGAACGATCACGTATAAGTGAAAAAGCAAATGGATTAATATTTAATTGTTTAGGCATTGCAATTCCTTGAAATCGATAGAATCTAGATCCATCTTTTTTCTTCAATGGATGTATGGCCGATAAATAAATAAAACCGATTTGACTAGTATCGGCAATCATTGGTCCATCACTTAATTCAATGTATTGACCACAACGGTATATAGTAAATTGACGATTGGCATCTTGTTCGGTTAATTTTTCAAGCTCTGACAAACGATGGAAATTATCGGCAAATAATTTTGATGCCACTTCGGCCGATACTTGTATTCGTTCATATCTATGAGCTTTGACCGTTTCATCCCAAAGCAATGATGTTATGGATTGTATTTCTTGAGAAGTCGGTTTCCAATCGGTTAGATTTTCAACCTCAACATCACAAATAAAACTTCCACCAGTCAGATCAGCCACAGGTTTCGAGATAATGTGTACTTTATATTCATCGCGAAAAGCTTTAGGTATGACACTAGCCAAAAGCATTGAACAACTTCTCCAGAATGCATAATTGACTGGCATACAATCATCGTGTTTGAAATGCAGTAATGTTAGATTACAGGATTGCACTAATGGTCGATGCATATCCCAATATTCATTCCCGTTAACCAAAGCCAATGCTGATCGCTGTTTGAGAATCTGATGAATGTGATTGGCACACTCGTGCGGCGTAGATATATTGGCATTCATCATGAGTACATAATCTTCACCATCAGGAAAAGGTTTCTCCAAATTCACTTCAATCTTTTCGAACCTAGTAATAAGAGATTGTTGTCGTTGTTTCTCTTCGTCAAACAATTCATTTTTGTATTTGATTGTACCTTCGACACCGATAAGTCTTGGAATTTTACTATCAAGTTCAGATTGTCTTGAAATTCGTTGATCAAACCATGATGGAGAAACATAATAACCACTTTCTAGAATTCTTCGCCCTAAACGATATGATCGATGTGGAATATGAACAAATTTAAATATTCTATATAACAATAATGAACTGGGTTGCATTTCAATTAATTTTGTTGAAAAATTGTATTTAAAAAAAAGATTCAATATTTGAAAAAAAATCAAGAATATTTTATAAATCACATGGTCAAGAATATTCATATACAATGTTACTCTATGAAATCAGACAACAAGGGGAGTGAGCCAAAATGAACAAAGAAAAATCATCCAATGAGCTAACATCGATAGAACTTAACTGGCCAATCAACAAGCAACTTGCTTTTCATTGGGTATCATTTGATTAGTTCATAATTCGATAAAACTAACGCCAAAAGGCGCTATTTGTCTTGTCCAATCAAAATTTTGAATTATTATTTGAAAAAAATTAAATTTCTGAAATTTTTGGTTTGATTAAATTCAAACTATTCGGTTTTGGATTGACAATAACTTGATGGTATGTGTAATTGAAAAATGAAAAAGTATTTAATCAATTTATTTCTTTTTGGTTATCGGATTTAGATGTATCAACAACCAGAAAATTCCAATGATAATTCATTAATGGCAGATCAAATGGGCCATACAACAGATAGTTATGATAGTGGAGACAATGATCGTAGTGAATTATTATTGCGTGAACAGGATCGTTTCTTACCAATCGCTAATATATCAAGAATAATGAAAAAATCGATACCAGCCAATGGAAAAATAGCTAAAGAGGCAAAAGAATGTGTTCAAGAATGTGTTTCCGAATTCATTAGCTTCATTACAAGCGAAGCTAGTGATCGATGTAAACAAGAAAAACGTAAAACGATCAATGGTGATGATATTTTATTTGCTATGTCTGTACTTGGATTCGATAATTATATTGAACCATTACAAGTATATCTGATGAAATATAGAGATTTTATCAGTCGTAATGATAAGGAAATCAAAAATATTGATCTCAAAGATGATGACGATGATAGCTCATCAACAAATCAACATGAAGATGATTCCATTCAATAGTTTTGACTAAATTCATTCATTCTAGCAGTTCTGATTTCAATCTTTTTTTATCAATCTATTAGATTTATCCATTATTGTAAAATAATTATTCTCTTTTCTTTTTTTTTGTAATCATAAAAGGCTAAAATTTTTTTTTGAATAAAATAACTTATTCTTCATTGGAATTGTCTCGACAATGAAGTTATCGAATGCGATAACAATATAAAAACAATCGATAGTATCGTTTTTTTTCATTCACATGGAAGCAGGTGATTTGAAAATTTAGCATTTTATTCTTCTGAATTCTGTACAAAATGAAATTAACGAATCAATTGAATCATGCAAAATATTTTTGGTGGGGTAAAGGTTGGGGTACAAAACCTCGAATAAACACCGATAATTTTTATTATAAAATGCAATGGAAAGCCAAAGCCAAACGTCCTTTGGAAGTGATCGAACAAACATTGCCCGAAAACATCAAACCTATTGATCCGAATATCTATGTCCGACAAGAAATAAATCGAGAATTTCATATTGATCATAAATTTAAATTACCGTGGCCATATTCTCATCGACCCATTAAAGGTACACCTGAAGATCCAAATTATAAACAAGAGACGGCACTAGTTTTTCATCGAAATAAGCGTCTTATCGAACCGATAAATTTACCACTTCATTTTACCAATTCATTACTTGAAAATGATTTGCCTCAGTCTATTCTGAAATTTCAAAATCAAATCCAATTCGATGATAAATTAGTCGATTATTGTCGACGTAGATTTGAATGGTCGCTGTTTAACGATTGTGCGATGCAGAAATTACCACTAAATCGAGAGTTTCCATATTTGGATCAAAAGCCACCACGTGTATTCGGGACGACCATAAATCGAAAAGAATGCTTAATTCTTCAAACTTTATATGAAATTTCAAATTCATGGACTGCTAAAACCTTTGGTTATGACCCGAATTTAATTTCAATGCGAATATCACGACCACATTGTGTCTATCCAATACGAAGGGATGAAAAATATGCCCTGCTAGATTTAGAATGTGATTTCGTAACGATATTATCGCCAACATCACCAAACACATCATTGAAATCGATCCCATTCGATCCTGATTATGTGGAAAATGCATCAAACCGACCATTAAAATCCATTTCGCCAATTTCCTGGCAAGTTGGATTTGATAATAAGAATTTCTATCCAGACGATTTCAAATTTATTATTCCTGCAAAATCACAAATTCATACAATATTCTTATCAAATAATAATGTTCGATTATTGAATGATGAAGATTATCAAGGACATGGTATTATGTTTTGCTATGGCTATGCTATGCAACAGGCAAAATTATTGGAAAATCATGAACAAAAATTTGTTCCACAAACAATCCAATGCCTTTACACTAGTCCAAAAGATTCAATGAAAATTGGATTCGTTTTATTTCAATTGAATTCTATTGCCGGTGATGATTCTATGATCCGAAATCAAGTTTGGATTAGTGAACCTCGATCGGTTATGGATGATACACGGGCCGTACTAAACGACCTATTCACGATACAATCATTTCGTGTGGCTAATGCATCATCATTTTAATTGATTTTTTTCTCATTATTATTACAGTATCTTCTGACTGGTTCTTTTGTTTTTTTTTTGTTTAATGTGAATAGAAAAAAATGGCAAAATTCATTAATAAAAAAATATATAATTTACACACTAATAAAAATTGACAATTTTGAAAAAAATGAACGGAAATAAAAATGTTTTTATCCAAAAAAATTTCGGAAACAGAAAACGAAAAACATCATGATGAGTCGTGTGAAAGAAATCGTCAAACAAAATTCATCGGTTTATGTTTTTTTGTAAACGATTTACTTATTGAGTTTTTCAAATTTCTTTTCCATTATCGAATTTTGAGTTGATATTGAATTGTTTTTTTTTCTGTTTGAATTATTTTTTGATTTTAAATACTACAGCTGCTATAATAACATAGATAAAAAACCATGAACCTGTGACAACAAATCCTATCCAAACACCGCTATCCTGTATTGACCATCCTCTTGATAATATATGTCTTAATGTTTCCGTTGGTAATGTTTGTGGTTGAAAATAACTAAACGAACGTATCCAATGTGGCATCGCTTCCAATGGCCAAATAATTCCTTTTTTTTGAACGGAATATTTTCAAATAAGAAACGAAAAAAATGATTGGCAGAATAATTACCGCTAAGAATTAAATTCGGATAAAAAGATCCAAGAATCATCATAACTGCTGTATTCTCCTGTTTGCATAAAGCTGATACAACCAATCCTTAGTAAATGTGGGTAATGAGTGATTAAAAATTAATTCAATGAGAAACAAATATGAATGATTTTATTACCGAATGCCATCCCTGTTGCTCCTTGAAATACTAATAACAAGATTACCAATATAAATGGACCACGACTTGGAATGTCAAACACTAGAAAAGTAAATATCAATACTAATAAAATTTGTATGCTCATCACACTGATTTGAACCAATGCATGAGAGAATAAAATTTGCATAGTATCAACTCCGGCAACCAAACTTCGCTCGAATAGTCCATCTAATTCATAAATAGATAATTAATTGATTAAATGAATTTGAGGATTTTTTTTTAAATAACCAACCTCTTCTTTCGATAATGAATGCCAACGAAGTTAAACCAGTAGCCATAATGTAACATATACTAACAACAACACCTGGAGCCATATATTCAAGATAACCTTGTTTATGTGGATCACCATAGACAGGAAATCCAAGCTGTTTTTGTTAATGAAAAAAAACGTTGAAAAAAATCACATAGGTAAATCTTACAAAAAAAAAAACATACAGCAATCGGTGTTTCAGCTAGTGCTGGATTTTGACCAAACAAATTTAATGTTTCCTGTGCGAATGCCTGAAATGCTTCCCTAAATGTTTTCTCCATTGAGAATGAAATTTGTTGATCTATTTAATAAACGAAAATAATAGCGAATTTATAAATTAACAAAGTTTTTTTTCTTGATCCTTTTAGTTAAACATACTGGTTAAATCTGGATAAATTCGTACAGTACTTGCTTCGATTGTTTCATTATCAACATCTTCACCCATTACCACCCTATATATTTTTGATTAAACAAAAAAAGTGTGAATAATATTTGGATAAAGTAAATCTCAATAATTGTCAAACCGTTTTTGCAGATTGACCGAAAATTTTTCTGATAAATGAAGAACACCCCACATTTCTCCACGTTTGACTGCAGCTATGGCATCTTCCAATGAACTAAAATTATGCTGAAAAGAGAACAAAAAACAAATTATGTTTATTGATAATTTCAGTACTAATTTTCCATTAAAATATTACCAGTCGAACTGAATTTGGATCAATTTTGCTAAGAAAAAGTTTACTCAAATATGGTGGCTGTTCTTCATTAACTACAGCAACATCGATATCGAATGGTTCACCGCCGATACATAAACAAAAAAGGATCACTTGAATTGCAGGTAATAAAAATTGGAACAACAAAAGAGGTATGTTTCGTCTTAAACGAGTAAAATTTTTCCATGCAACAATACATGTCGTAGACCAGTATTCATGCCACGTGCTTAATTTGCATGAATTTTGATTATATTTTCGACTATAAGATGATGTTGGATATGTTGTCGTAGTATATGTTGCTGTTGTATGTGATATATGACCATTCGTCGCCGTACCATTCATTTGAATTTTATTGGATTTATTATTTGAATTTGTTTTGATATTATTATGACAATAACCATTTTCGCTTGTGACCAGATTGATTGTCGAATTGTTTGTTGAATGTACAATTGCTGTGGCTGGTAATGGTGGTGCAGGCGCCAGATCATAACTTGCTTCCTTATTAGTTACGTATAATGAAAATACTGATGGAAACTATTGATCCGAAACGATACAAAAAAAAAGATCAAGATCAAATCAATCCATTTTGGATTACATAAAGGTTACAAGATGATGAGATGATTAGAGGTTTGAATTTGAATTTGAATTGTCAACAACTTACTTTGATTATGTTTTTGAGATCTCCATTGGTTTCAATCTGATTAAATTGTCTTGCGGTAATATTTGGCGACACTGTCGTTTCATTATCGATCGATATGGTATGATTTACAGCAGCTGTAGCTGATGGTGGAATCGATGAAGGTTCATTGACAATCGTTGCCGTTAAATTCAAATCACTTCTAGGTATGGCGGTATAATTTGATAATGCAGCCGCTTTAAATGATATATCCGACATGCATAATTTAAGAAATACATCTTCTAATGTATCAAGATTATGATCAATCATTAATTGATCGGGAGAATTTTCAGCTAATAATCGTCCTTGTCGCATTAATCCAACTACATTTGCTTGTCGTGCTTCTTCAATATAATGTGTGGTTACAATCACGGTAATACGTTCTTTTCTTGTTAATGTAACTAAATGATTCCATATACTAAGAAGTAAGTGAAAAAGAAAATAACAATGAGATAATCATCATCATTAAAAAAAATGATGTTACAAAAAAAATCATCGTCATCGATTCAATAAACGATAATCATTGATGATCGCAAAATCGTACGAACCTCTGTCGCAACAAGGGATCGACACCGACCGTTGGCTCATCCAATATCAACAATGGAGGTGAATGAACAAGAGCAGCTGCCAATGATACACGACGTTTCTGTCCTCCACTATATAAGAAAAAAATAAATTTACGAAATAAAAATAATATCATTGAATCATCAAAAATGACAATGAATAAAATAGAAATGCTTCAGGTTAAACTTATTATGATCAATTTTTTTTTTGATTATTTGTCTCAAATCGAACGTCATGATGTGTGTAACAAAAATAATGACAATGATGACAATGACAATGATCAATTGGTTTGATCATTGAACAAAAGATTTGAATCAACATTGCTTATGTAATTTGTTCACTTTTATTCATAAAATTTCGATTGCTCGACATTTTTTTTTTTTTTTTTTTTTTTTTTTTCATACATATCATGTGTGGCGATATTATTATCATAATTTTAAAATACCCGTTTCTAATATGAAATATTTGATATGAGCACACAACACATAACGGTACAATTATTATCGATCCTAATTGTGAAATTTTCATTTTACTNGATCAATTTTTTTTTTTGATTATTTGTCTCAAATCAAACTTCATGATGTGTGTAACAAAAATAATGACAATGATGACAATGACAATGATCAATTGGTTTGATCATTGAACAAAAGATTTGAATCAACATTGCTTATGTAATTTGTTCCCTTTTATTCATAAAATTTCGATTGCTCGACATTTTTTTTTTTTTTGATTGTCATACATATCATGTGTGGCGATATTATTATCATAATTTTAAAATACCCGTTTCTAATATGAAATATTTGATATGAGCACACAACACATAACGGTACAATTATTATCGATCCTAATTGTGAAATTTTTATTTTACTTTTATTGTTATTGTTGTTGTAACATCAATTTTTTCGTAGGATATTTTTGCTTTTAAAAAAAAGATGACAAAAATTTCAACAAGTGATTGTTATTGATTGTTTTTTACGTGTTTTTTTTCTTTGATGATGATATGCTCATTTCCCGGAAAAAAACTTATTTTATCTCATTTTACCTGGTTCGATTTCGTTTGTTTATTGTTATTATTATTGTTGTTGACATCTACAAGTGGTTTCTAAATAGTGTGTGTGTTTTATGTTTGAATAAACATTGAAATGATTTGTTCTTTATTTCGTGATGTTTAAATGTTTGTGATCACATTAGATTTTGAAATAGAATTTTGATTTTGGAAAAAATATTATCAAGATAAAACAAACAAACCTTAAATGTTTTACTAGACGATTTTTGTTGGGCAAATCCAAAAATGAAATCAAAAACAAAATTCTTTCGTTAAGAAATTCAGGACTAAGATTGAATAATCGCCCAAAATAATAAAGCATTTCTTCGATTGAAAATTCATCATAAACAGCAACTTCCTGTTGTTGTTGTTGTTTTTTTGGAAAATAAATTATTGAAAAATGAAAAACAAATTCTGTATACTAACCTGTGGCATATAGCCGACCGAAGGTCCAGGTATTTGACTACCCGGTTCATTTGGCTGATAACCGAATACTCGTACATAACCTTGTTGAGCTTTTATACGTCCTACAATACAACGTAACAATGTAGTTTTTCCACAACCGCTTGGTCCAAGTAATCCATATCTACAATAATGAAATTTATCAAAATAATGTTTTTTAAATCAAAAAAAATTGATAAACATTGGTTTAATGTATGTATTTTGTTTGATTTTTTTTCACTGTCCTTGACACTGGAAACGGAACAAACAATTTATTTCATCAGTTTTGGGCCTCATTGACTATATTTATTTGCATTCAGGTCATGATTGAATTTTTTTTTGTTTGTTTATTCATCTAGTTGAAAAAATTATTTCGATAGTGATATTGTTGTTATCGATCGAACAAAACGATAGCAATCAATCAATTTCGATCCATTTAATAATCATTCTTTGGAATGGCCCAAACAAATAAACAAACACACACACACAGACACACATTAGACATTTTTGTCTTCCTCTTTTTTTTTATCACTATGGTGTTTTGTTTTCTATAGATGATGTTTGTTTTTTGTTTTGTGAATTTGTTCATTTATTATTTGTTTTGTTTTGTTAAATTTCTATTACTTGTTCACAACAACAACAACAACAAGTAGTCCACATATATTGAATGTATATAGTTCTCTCTCTCTTTTATTAAAACAACAAACACACAGGTAAAACTATCTCGGAAATCAACAAACACATTAAGAAGGTTGAATCAAAAAAAAAAATTTCAATTTACAACTATTGCTGTATACATCTGACATATTTGATAATAATGAAAATCTATATAAATGAAGGAAATAAATGAAAAACAAAACAAAAAATTGTTTCGATAAATAATTGTCTTTCAAGCAAAAGCCTGTGTGAATGGGGCTTTATCCGATTAGATTATATAAACAGAAAAATTTTGCTTATTCTCATTTCATTTTTTTAACGATAATGTTGTTGCTGCTGGATCGGATTACGGTAATTACCAATTGATTGTTTGTTTGTTTGTTGTTCCAATCAAATAGTTTTAGGAGAAAATGAAAATGTTGAAATAATACAATTTTTTTCTGTTTGTTTGTTTGTTTGTTTCATCAAACTGAATAGTGAAATATCTGATAAAATTTGATGTAATCTTTTTTTAATATAGACTAGCATTGAAAAAAATGAAAAGAAAATGGTGTATACATATCAAAGACCTTGATATGACTCTTTGACTAATGTGACATTCTTTTTTTTACTTTTACTTTTACTTTTTACTTTTCATTTTCATTTTTTATATAATAATAACGAAATGAAAGGCACACCTTTCTTCATATTTTTTTTTTGCTGAATGAGAAATACATTTTTTTGTGTGTCATATCTGTGATGTTTGGCCATCGATATATGTACAAATGATCGATCGATCGATCAATCAATCCATGATGATCATAATCGATCAAAATATCTATCAGTATATGTGTCTGCAAATGGATAAAACGTATATATATTATTTATAACAAACAAACCGATTCGTTGTTTGAAATATTTGAAGTTCAAACACCAAAAAAAATAAATGAAACAAACAGATAAAATTGAAAGAATGAAATAAACCCGTTTATTACATATATAAAGAAAAATAATAGATTTTTCTGTTGTTATTGAAATTAAGAATGGCATTCAATAATCAAAAGAAAAAAAACCATTATGATTATCATTATTATAAGTAGCCAGTATATCTATCAAATTTATTCATTCATTCAAAATTAATTTTTATTTTTCTTCTGTTGAACATAATATAGTAAATTGAAAGTCAAATAATAGTGAAAATAATTTCAATTACAGTTATACCATTGATCATCATCATCATCATCATCAAAAAACGATTTCAAATACTAGAACAAGAACAAGATTTAAAGTCCAAGTTATTCAATCTAGTTAAAACTTATATAATCGCTATATATATAAGATATATGTTATGTGCTGACCGATAAAATTAAAAGTCAAAGTCGAGTTTGAATCTTTTTCTTTTTTTTTCTTCTGTTCACGTTATTTTGTGTGTATGTGTGTGTTTGTTCCGTTGGCATTTAAGCATCATCCATTCTTAATTTGATTTCAATTTTAACGGTAAACAATAAATTTGGCCTGAATTTCATGTTGCCGGCAATTTTTGAATTGTGAAGATCACAATATTTTTTTTTCATTGAAATGTTATTGAAATTGTTTTCTATCAAAATATAAAATTTCTTTTTTTAACATAAAAAATTTTCCTTCACAAAAATAATCTTACATTATTTTCATAATTATTAATCTTGGATTTTTTTATTGAAATATTTTTTCTTGTAAATCTTTTGACGATTATATAGTGCATTTTTTTTTTGTAAATGAATTTGTTTTTAATTTTTTCTTAATAAATACAGTAGTTAGTCTTCAAGTATGATGATTTTTTTAATGTGAAATATTTTACTATAGTTTTGGCAATTTTTGTTTGTCACTCAGAAAAGATTATTAATATATTAAATGTTTGCACAACAACATAGTTAGGTAAGAAGTGATCAACAACAAAAAAAATAATGACTAAATTTAGTTATGAATAAATTGTTTCACCTGTCAATTATGAATTTGATTTCATTCACACGTACACACACACACACACAATAATAATTAATATTAATTTGGTCGAATTAAGAGAAAAATAAATATAAATCTTTACACATCATATATGTGTGTGTGTGGGGATTAATAATGAACAATGGATGATAAGCAATGTCATCTTTCTTGTCATTTGAAGTATTTAATAAAAAATTTTCATTGAAAAAATCGACATTGAAATTTTTTTTTCATCATTAACCTTTGTTTTTTTTTGTATATCGGTAAGGATAAAATATTATTGCTGTATTTTTTTTCCGGATCTGTTTTTAGGTAAAAAATTTGACATTTTTTTCTGGAAACAAATGACAAAACAAAAAACAAAACAAAAAATTGAAACAAAAACATAAAAAAATTTCAGTTAAGGAAGTGAATGAAATTTTTTTTTTCTTAACATCAACGATGATGATGATGATGGCACCGATGATAATGGTGCGAAAAAAAAAATTCATAGCACTATTTTTTTTTCTCGAAAAATTGAACTACCTGAATGCCTGGCATGTCCACCATCATTCAACACAATTTTCAACAGTTTGATAGACATGGATTTCAATTTTTTTTTTGCTTCTGACCCAATCAACATTAACAACTATGACGACGACGACGACCGACCACCATTACCTCGGTAATCTCTTGTGCCGGACATCGTAAGATTTTTTTTTTGAGTTTTGTGAAAGTGGTAATCATCATAGCCAAAAAAAAAAAATATAGCCGAAAGCTGAATTGTGATTATCATTTGATGAATGTCCGTAATGTTTGTTGTAAGAGAAGTAAGAGTTGTTGTTGTTGTTGAAAAAAAACCCTTAAACCGAAAATGGTATGTCTTGTTGTTTGCAATCAATGAATACTGAATGATTGAAATGTTTTTTTTTTACTATTTACCTCTACAAACATACTACACATATGCTTTTATCTGTATAATATGTGTCCCCCTTCACTTTCACTATGAACCGGAAGAAATAAATCCAAATAAAAAACAGAATGAGAGTAAAGTAAGTGAAAAACAAAACAAAACAGAACAAAATTGTTTCGGGTTTTTTTTTTGTATAGTGTACACTGTTAAAAATGGTATGACTTTATAAGTTCATAAAGTGGAAGTGTGGACTTATAAG